GGGAAAGGGGTGGCAGACGCAGAAGTGACTGGGGGTCCAGCCCCATGTGCGGGAGAAGGTGGGGGTGGTGGGGGGAAGGTGTAGGTGGCAGGACTCTGGCCCTGTGGGTGGGCACAGACCCCTTGGTATGTACCCTGGGAAGAGGAAGAGGAGGAGGAGGAAGAGGAAGAGGAAGAGGAGGAGGAGGCGGCAGAGGCAGAGGAGGAGGCAGACGAGGGGGTAGGGGTGGAGGAGGAGGCAGCAGCAGCTGAAGGAGCCTGACTATATGTGGCCTGGCTGTGGGGTGGGTAGAGGCGCAGCCCATAGGCAGCATGTGAAGGGTGATGAGTGCCTGACTCCATGGGGTGGGGGTAACCTCCTGTTGGCTGAGGAGGAGCTGCTGTGGCTGGAGAAACACCCCCTCCACTGCCAGGGCCATGGTGGTGTTGCTGTGATGACTGCTGGTGGTGGGAGGCCTGGCCAGGAAAGGAGGCAGGAGGATGGGAGCTGGTGTTGCCCAGTGGGCGGCTGTACGGTGGTGGACCCTGGCTCCACACAGGCTGGGAGGGCAGAGAGGGCTGGGTGTACTTGGGAGGCTGGCTGGAGACAGAGAGAGCACTGGGGAGGGGGAAGGAGTGGGCATAGGAAGCACTGTAATTAGGCAGGGTCTGGGCAGGGGAAGGTGGGAGATATTGAGCAGAGGAGCTGGACGGGGGTGGGGGAGCATAAGGATAACGTGAAGGGGCCAAGGCTGGTGCCTTGTCTTGCCCCATGCCATGGGGTGATGGGAGGTGCCCACTCAGAGCCTGCCCCACCATCCCTGGAGAGTTGGAGGCAGCGGCCACGTTATTCAGTGGGCGCAGGGCTGGTGGGGGAGGCAGGTTGGCTGAGACATGGGGGAAGGAAGGGGCAGAGACTGGGGGTGCAGCTGGGGGGTTGGCTGGAGGTGTTTTCTGAGGAGGCAGCCCCGCTCCCATGGCAGCCAGGGAGATGGGTGTAGTGGGCGGGGGGTTGTGCTTGGCACCAAGGTTCTGTTCACGTGCTCCTGGTGCTGGAATGCCTCCCACTCCATTGGTGCCTTTGGCCCCAACCTGGACCACATTGGCAGTAGGATAAAGAGGAGCATGGGCAGAGGAAGAGGAAGAAGAGGAGGAGGAAGAAGAAGAAGCAGGCTGTGGTGCCTGGGCCTGGAAAATCCTGGAAGTCTGCGTCTCAAGTTGAGAGTGGTAACTCCCTCCAGGGGGCTGAGGGTGGACCTCACCTGCTAGGCCAAAGCCTGGCTCAGATGGACGGCCTAGACTGTCAGTAGGAGGGGCAGCTGGGGGGCTCTGGGGGAAGAGTGGGGGGTGGTGGTAGGCATGGGATGGCCCCTGGGACAGCACAGAGGAGGAATCTGAGTCATTCTCCACACTGCCAGGGCTGTAGACACTGGGTGAGGTGCTGCGGTTATCCTGGTCAATGTCCCGGGGGTCGCTGCTCATCTCGTCATTGAAGCTGTGGCCATCAAGGCTGTCAACATCTGAGGGAGACTGAGGACATGGCAGCTCCTGGGCAGAGGGAGAAGGGAGATATTACACAGGCTCATAAGCCTCCAAAGTCTGCTCTCTAAAACTCCCAGCCTGTGCTGCTGGAGCCATTACAGAAGATCGCTCTGTCCTATAATCAGCAAAGTCTTCTCTTTGAAATTTGTAAGGATGTTGAGGGCAGTCCAACCCACTTCTCCTCACTTGTCCCTATGGGTATCTCCCAGAAGACACAACAGCAGCAGATTTATCATGTACAGAAGGCAATGTTACTTGAAGTGTATCAATAACAAACCTAGCAACCTCCGTCTGAACAGCAAAAAATACAGCACAGACAACAAGGGCTGATGGGTCCTGACCCCACATTCTGCAGAAAGGTCAGTGTCATTAGCCCAACATACAGAGGATGTAACTGGGGCCCACAGATTAGCGGTGACCACCATTCTCAGCGGGTCTTTGGAAGAAAGGGCTGAAACCCATAATCAGTTATGGGCCCTGGATGAAGGTATCATTCAGGACTACATATGCACATACAGTGCATGGTGGAATATCCCAAGAAAGCAATGGGAGGTTTGCATAGAAAAAACTATTTATGTTGTTAGTTGCTCAGTACCTCTATTGCTGCTTTCACCACTGGGTAGGGAATCCTGCTCCCCTTTGGGTCAATGCTATCTCTTCCTTTTGTGTCAGTTCCTTCTCATCTTCCTTTCTCTAATCTTCCTTGTTCCCCATTCTTGTGAATCTTTTCAGTGATTTCCTCTGAGTTTACCTCCCTGTAGCTACTCCCTCTTCTGGCTCCAGGAATCCCATTGCCACCCAAACCCCCATTCCAGGCAATAAAATGCTGAGTGATAGAGCAGCTTGTGTCCCCAATGATTAAATGTCATGGCTGGACTTCAAGGCTTACAACATAAGGTAAACGAAGAAAGGGCTTCTGTTATGCTGGATAGAAGAATTCACATACGGGAATTAACATTAGTAATACTGTGGCGTTACACTTATCCTGTCACAGCAAAGACAGTAATATCCGAAGCCTCAGAATTGATTTTCTAAGCCAAGACACAGAGGACAATAGCATATGAGAATTAGGTGGTATCCTTTTAAATCAGGGGCAGGCAATTATTTGGGCCCACGTGCCATATAGGCAGTTCTGGGGAGCTGTTGTGGGATGGTCAGTACTCCTGCCCTCCCCCTCGAAACAGCCCAGAGCTCACAGACCCTGCAGCTCCTCCCGGCCACCACCAACAGGGCATATCCCCAACCCCAGCCCACCCCAGGCCCACCCTGGACTCACCCCAGCCAGAGCAGACCAGCTAGTACCTGTATACACGCCTGCTATGGACTGCCTACCCATGCTGGGCAGTGGCAGCAGCCAGGTAGAAGATGCTACTTGGAGTGCAGGAAAAGCAGCCCCTCCCCTTCACTGCTGTTGGGCCCTTCTTGCTGCAGCTGCCCAGAGCCTGGGCCCAGGCAGCCTGTGGCTCCTCTCCACCGCCATCACTGCTGCCTCTGGGCTACCCATCAGGACAGTGGTGGCAGTGCAGAGAAGTGGCAGGCAGCCTGGCCCAGGCTCTGGGTGGTTGCAGCAAGAAAGGCCTGGAAATGGCAAAGCTGTTTCCCACCCCCACCAAGCAACAGCTTCTGCCTGGCCACTGCTGATGCTGCCGCTGCTCAGCATGGGCAGCGAGTCTGGGGCAGGCCAGCATTGGAGCTGTGCACATGGGTTCCAGCTGGTCCACGCCACCAGACTGAGTCCAGAATGGACGTGGAGAAGGCCAGGGTCAGGGCTGTGCACGTGGGTCCCCGCTAGCACCACAGGGCTGGGGCCAGCAGTGTCAGCAATTGCAAAGAGCTGCTGCTGCCTGGGCTGCCTAGAAAGTTAGTTCAGCTGCCAAGCTGCCCCAACCCTGCTGTGTGCCCAGGGAGTGGCGGGATATGCCACAGGCCGGGTGGCATCTGTGACAGGTGGGACCAAGGGACCCACTGCAGGCTTGACAAAGTCCCTCCATGGGCCGGATGTGGCCTGTAGGCCATATTTTGCCTACCCCTGTTTTAAATAGTTTGTGAGCCCTCCATTAGCACTCACTGTTTTCTCTGGTTCACAAGCCACAGAACTCTACTGGAGCAGCAGGGTCTTTGTAATTAGGTCTTACATGTTTTATATCATTAGTAAACATGGTAACTTGGACCCACATGCACCCATATGGTTCCTTCCTGTCACATTTGTTGTGTAAAGAGCAAAAGACTTAGACCAATTGGGAAGCTGACTCCTGTGAATCCCTGTTCTGGGCAGCTGTTGGTAAGCACAGACAGACATCACTGGATGGGGCATGCTTGGAAGGACAGGTCTGCAAGTGGAAGTAGAAGCTGGATTCTGGAGAATGTGATAATGTCACACAGGCCATGTGAATACATCCTGCAGTTTGTGTGTTTGATCCCTTTGCTACAGAGAAAACATAGGCTCATAGCTGAGATATTGGACTGTGACCCAGGAGATCTGGAACCAGCCTCCTGCTCTGCCACAACTGTTCCTGTGTGACACAGGGCAAGTCACTGCCTCTCTGTGTGCCTCCACTTTCTACTTGTGCAGTGGTATTAGTATTACTGTTTGGATTGCACTTATGCCTACAGGCCCCAGAGATGAATCAAGGCCCCAGTGTGCTGGGGACTCTGTGCACACACAGTGAAAAGACTGCCCCTGCTCCAAAGCTGGAGTCACAGTTCTCAGTCTCTTGCTCTAAACAGTGAGGTCCCAGAGCTCTCATCAGAGGCATAGGAAAGCAGAACTCCTAAGTGAAAATGCCCCACCCTCCTCACTATGCCTTTAACTAGAACAACTCAAAGGTAGTCCCAGGCAAACAATCACTGTCCTGCACAAAGTTCTGGTAGGGTCTGCGGAGTATTATGAGGAAGAGCCACTGGGGGCAGGGACTCACCTCAGTTTTGGTTTTCTTGGGGGCACTACTGTCCTCCCCTTCACTCTCTGAAATCTCCTCTGTCCGGCCTTGCTTGCTACCCTTGGGTGTGCAGGAGTCCTCCACTCGACCCTTCTGTGAGGAAGAGAAAGAAAAGAGTGAGTCGCACATGACTCTTCTCCCCCACCTTCCATGGTCCAATCCAGAGACTGACACAGAAGCGAGACATTAGACAGATTAGATCACAGGCTTTACAAAGCAGCTGGGTGCCCAGGGCAGTAACAATGCACGGGGACAGTGGCAACTTCCAGCTGCCAGTGGCAGTTCGTATTTTCTGCTCCCTCACTAAGTCAGTGCCCAGCAGGGGGCTGCCACAGTCACTGCACTTCAGTTATGCTACTGGATTAGATCATACCTGAACCACCGGCTATTAGCAGCAGCAATTCCAACACTGGCCACAAGCTGGCGAACACTAAAATAATACAAGGGTATTTCAGATAGTAATGGCAATTTCAAAATAAAACCGTTTTATGGACAATGATTCTTTACTGAACCACATCACTTCTTCATCTAGTCATAAACAATGGGTGTGTTCAACAGTGCTGCCATCAGTGTTTCCTGCTGCCACATAGTTTCCCAGTCATTGTACACACAACAATTTTATTTCCAAAAATGCTTTCTGAAACACTCTTGTAAAACAGGACTGGGAGATGTGGGCGATAATAACTGGTGGGATCCTGAGAGTAAGGGAAGGAACTGATCTCAGTTTTTGGTGAGCCTTAGGGGCATGTCTGCTCCACAGCAGTGGCTCATCACCAGCACCTGCTCTTTGGTCCACCTGAAGCCAAGGGCTTGACAGTAGACACTGGAGATGAGGCAGGAGCAACCTCACTGGCAACCTACTTCTGAGTCTGGAACATGCCTGTGGGTATAAGTGGAGGGGGCACACTCAGGCCCCTCTGTGCCAAGAACCCAAAGTCTGTGGTGTAGACAAGCTTTATGGTATCTGAGGCGTAATACTCACTTTTCCTACCTTGTTTGCTTGCCGGGATTTCTCAGCTTTGCCATCACTGCTGGAGGTGCTGATGCCACCCGGGGAGGCTCGACCCCGTGACCTCAGCTCTTCTCGGGGCCCAGGAGTCTCCTTCTTCCGTCCACTCCGCATTGACATCTAAGGAAAGAGAAAGCACATCACTATAGCCCTCTCCTGCAGCTCTTCCTTGCTATGGAATTCTTGTTCCAGTTTGGCTGAAGCCTCTCAGTCTTGCTCCACAAGCACCCCACTACTCCCATCCTTAATTCACCACACAGTGTTGCTGATGCACCTCAGTCCTGACCCACATCTCTCCTCCTCTTCCAGTTCTGGGTTTCCCACCTCCTCCTCTCCTGTCACGTACTGAGTCTTTGTTCTGTCGAGTCTTCATTCTTTTGGGTGTGGGGCCCCCATTCTCTTTGGCCCGGCTGGATGAAAACATAAATTTTTGTCACTCCCCCTTTCTGCTGTTCCTTGGAGGGACTAAAATGGTGGCCTCAACTAGGCACAACCAGATCCTCCAGAAGGGGGCTCAGACCAGAGATGTTACTGGTTTCTGGAAGTCCCTGGAAGACAGAGAGGGAGACAACAACAGAAAAACTGAGACTGAGCATGTGTATGAGTCCTCTTCATACCACAGAACCAGCTCATGATATAACTGTCTTCCCCACCCTCAGTATCTCCATATACACTGCCCAGGCTTTTGCAACCTGGAGAGGTCATTCCAGCTTTTCAGAAAAGCAGATTACTTCTTATTTGCACTGTAATGTAACGATGCCCAAGTAATAAAAGGCAATTGAGCTCCCTTAGTATTTTGGGGGGATCTGATTCTTGGGATCTGATATGTTAACTTTGTTTTAACTTTTTTTTTAATATTTCATGTTCGTGGTTAATTTTTTTTCCCAAGAGGACAGAAGTGAAAGAGAAAGTGTTTTAAAACTGTTAGCATTTAAGCTCACAAATTATATTTCTTCTGGCATTATAAACTCCTCTTGGTACCTGTTATCAGCCCTGTAAGTTACAGTATTCTTGACCAATAATGTAACACCGTTCACCCTAAGATGTGGTCCCCCAGGGGTTCCTGGAGCACAGACTTTTAATCAAACCTGGATTCCCCAGCATACACACCAGGGTACCAGTTCTGTACTCAGCTTATTATACAGAGGTGCTGAGAAGTCCTGCTCACACTGCATCTTCAGGGATACCTAGCAGATACAAACGCCCACACTTTAACTTGGATTTGCAAGTCACATGCTGAATCCAACCCATTTAGCTTTAACTCTTGCCCCCAGAACCCAACCCTCTGTCCTCTGCAGCAGAGCTGTAGCTCTTTTCTTAGCTCCAGCCCCTACCTCATTAATGCTCATTGTGGAATTAACGGGCACTTTTACACGTGTTCCGAAGCATTTGGATTAGAATGCATCAGAGCAGACTCAGTCGAGTCTGCTGGAGCCTTCTAACCAGAATGCTCCAGCGTGCTGCAGCGTCTTGTGTATTCAGCATCCCTGTGTTTCAGAATGGCGGTGGGGGCAGTTTAAAGAGCATTAGTTAAAGCACCCCACCACCATTTTGAAATGTCAGACAAATACATGAGATGCTGAGGGCTTTATAATTAGAGCAGCTCCTGAGAGCTGCCCCAATTAAAACACCCCTACCTGGAGCACATGTATAGGTGCCCAAAGATCCCAGAGCCATATGCCAAAGATGTCAAAGACAGTTTTGTGAATAAGGCACTAGGGATAAGGAGTCAAACATTCCAAGTCTATGCCCAGTTTTAAGGGTGACCTGTGGATTAATGGGTTAGTGCAAGGGTTGTCATCTGGAGGTATGTGTATGCCTAGAGATACTTGGAGAGGTCCTAGTGGGGTATGCATGGGTGGGTGGGGATGGAGCTCCACCACCCACAACCCCACGCCACTACCTCCCAGAAGCAGGGCCAAGGAGGGTGAGGGGGTGAGGGCAGCAGTGCCCCTTTGTGGGCCACACAGCCACTGCCTAGCCAGCCAGACATGGGGGGGGGGAGGGAGGGGAGGAGCTTGCAAGCAGTGGCCACTGCCCCCATCCACCACCCCGCGCCACTGCCCCGTGCCATTGCTGCATGCCACTTTCCCATAGCCGGTTGCACATGAGGCTCTGTGGGCTGATGATGGGTGGCATGCAACTGGTTGGGTGCGAGGCCTGTCAGGAGCCTATGGAGCCGCATGTGCAACTGGCCGCGGGAAAGTGGGGTACAGAAGTGTGGAGCAGTGGGTGGCGGCATGGGGTGGTAGGTGGTGCAACCCTTCCTACCCCCCAGCATCTGGCCACCACCACCAGAAGGGGTACACTTCTTTAAAAAGGTTGAAAACCCCTGGGTTAGTGCATGAAGACAGAATAAGGGTTCTGGGGGGCTATTCCAGTTCTGAGATGGACATGAATTCTAGAGGTTTAAAGCAGAGGGATCCTGGACTCTGTTCCCTGCTCTAGAAATGCAGTTAGGTCTAGAAGGTTAGATCCAGGAAAATGCAAGTAAGGAATCTGGTATCCAGTTTGCAGCCTCCAGCTGACCTGCTCATGTCCCTTGGGAATATTCTCTTTCCCATGTCCCAGTCACCCATCTACAAAAGGATGGGGGTGGGGGATGATACTGCTCTCCCTCTTGTGGAGGTTATGAAATCTCCTTAATTAATGCATTCAGAGTGCTTGGAGAACCCCAGATGGAAGGCAGAAGAGTATTATTAATTTAATTTCATTAATATTTTATCTGCCCCTTGTCATGAAAGCCACATGAGGCCCATATAACAATAATTCCCATACACAACAATTCATTAGCTTAGGCCTTCTCTTAGTAAATGCACCATTTTAACTAAAATTGATTTAAAACTGATCTACTGACACTGGTGCAAATTCCTCATGTAAACACACCTTAATCGGTTACAGCCTTGCTCACATAGCTTCAACTTAATTTGATCATTGATTCTGAAATCAATCTAGTTCAATTGACTGATTTTCTAGTACTGACAATGTCTTTGGACTAACATTCCTCCCATAGTGTAAATGCTAAAAAGCAAGAAAACTGTCATTTAAAAAACTTGATATACATCTCTATGACAATGCGCAAGCATTAACCCCATACATTCATAGCACACAAACACAACACACTTCAAATTTGACAACACTGTCCTTCTCATTTTACATCTGACAGAACTGGAGATCACATGCAGTATACAACATTATCTCCTGCTTCCAACAACACATTATTATAATCTTTCCACAATCAGCACAGTTCAGTGTCCCCATACTGAAATTCCTTTCCTTATTAAAACATAAATTTATCCTTAATATCCACAGCACAGCTCCCAAAATGTTAGTTCAAATATCCAATTCACAGTATTAGTGCTAGGGATTTGTTGGGTCAAAAAAACAAAACAAAACATCCAATTGAGCTGCCTAATAACATTAAGTAATAACAAAAATGCTCAAATATTTTAAAAATGTATTAGAACAATATCATCAGTAACAGAAAAGAGTGACTTTATCATTGCTAATGTATTAGATACTTATGTTCAATTATGAAAAGCAAGTTACATAACTAAATGATTTTTAAGTCAGAAAAATTTGAAAGAAATAATGAAAGAAAAAAGAATTAAAAATTGTTACTTTCTAGCAATGTTAGCTTAGTATTTAAACGCAAACATGACTGAATATTGAACAGCTACAAAAGGAATGAAATGAAACAAATCAATAACATAATAATTACAAAAGAAAAAAAGTCATTTTACAGTAGGTAGGCAGCAGGCTGTCTCTTCATGTGTTTTTGTTTTGCATTAACTTTTTTTCTTCTCAAATGTAATTGTCTTATCTATATCTCTGTTATCAGCATACTCAAATGCATCAATATCTACTTATTCCTACTATCTGTACATTTAATCAACTCTTCAGCTGCCATTTTCCTCTCTACTTTTACATTGTAATACATGGTCAGTGCTCCTCAACAGTAGAGGTCCTAAATTAATATCTGTTTTTTGAATGGACAAAGCTGTCCAATTTTGTTTTGCAGATGTGGTAGCACATTAAAGTGCCAAAAGGATTTCTGCTATTGCAGCTGGACTGCAAGAAGGTCACAACCATCTTGACCATAGAGGAGCACCCACTTTAAGCCAATTGCTGGAACTGCGCTCCACATTGTTCTATGGTTGAATGGGCTGCTGCTTGCTTTTTTTTGCTATTTCTACCAGAACTGTCTGTTTTTATATCCCTTCACATTTGCAACAGTGACAGCTAGGGCAGAAGCTAAACCAAAGAGCATGCCTACACTGCATGCCCTGCTGCTCCCAAGCCATCCATGTTTATTCACCTGCATCAAACAGAAACTCAGCAGCAAAGCCACCCTAGGAGTAGGCCTCATTGGCTCTTCTTGAGACCTGTCTGGCACACCCCAGAAACATAGTGTAAACGTACTTAGGTCCTCTTCCTTGCATCTCTAGAGCGTATTTTAACAAACTCCTCCCTGTCCTTGTAGTTCCAGGACACAGTCAGTACCCTCATCCCACTGCTTGTTATTTTTGATGTTTCAGGCATTGGACCTGGTAGCTGCACATGAGAACTGTTCCTGGAGTTTTCAAGAACAGGTTAAACAAGCACTGGTCTGGGATGGTTTAGTCAGGGATGATCCGACCCTGAGCAGGGCGTTGGACAAGATGACCTGCTGCAGGGCCCTTCCTTCCCTGCTTTTCTATAACTCAAAGGCCTTGGCCCTGGAAACAGGATCAAGAAGGTAGAGAGCATGAAGTTCAGGAATCATCATCTAATTTTTATGTGATATCCATTATCCTTTGCTTTGCAGCTTTAGTAAGTGGACTTTATTTAGTATTTTCACAAACACATTTCTTAAATTTCACGCACTTCTTTTTAGCATCAAATAATGTAGAGCTACCATTCTTCCATATTTTGAAAGGAGGGAGCTATGTATTCAAGCAATGAAAATGAATTTTGAGTTTCACATCTGAAAGACAATATCACCACAGATTACTCAAGAACAACACAAAGCCACCTCTTCTTCCTGGGTGGCTGACTGAAATACCTTCTTCCATTTTTGAAGAGTTTTGACAGATTTAATTGAAGTTGCCCATCAAACACAAGGCCAGAAAAATGGTTGCTGATATGCAATGAAAAAGTTGTCAGATCTTCAACATCACCAGTGAAGAACTGCATCAAAATGAGAATATACTTATATAACACAGAAGGTGAAGATACTTATTTATCAACCAGGTACAAGCAACTTTCATGTTAGTTGCACTATCAATCCCTAAGAAACCTTTTGTAGACACAATTAACTGATTATTTTTTAAATAACTGCAGTTAAATTCAGCAGTGCACTGGCATGTGCAAAACACTGGTGTTTGAGTTATAACCATGAAGCTGATGACATCCTCTGTTTAAATACTGCTCCATCAGTCAGACACTGGAGACACACGAGGAGCTTTTCAGTAAAAACACCAACTCTCTTTTCATGTCTTCCACTCCAGCAGTCAGGCTTCCTGCAATGTTTTATACTTGGAATTTTGTAAATTGAATTAAATTTGTA